TTTTTAATTTGATCAGGTCCCATTTATTTATTTTGGTTGTTGCTGTGATTGCCTTTGGCATCTTCTTCATAAATTCTTTGCCTAGGCCAATGTCTAGAAGAGTATTTCCAACATTTTCCTCTAGAATTCTAATAGTTTCACTCTTCAAGAATTTTTAAAAGAATTATGGGAGAGTTATATAGGTCCACATTTGAAAAAGATTTGTTATCTAATACAATTTTTGAAACTGTTGAATAGTTAATTAAGAATAAATAAGTATTATAACTTAAATTTGTTCTAATATATGTGGATTTGGATTCTATAAGAGATGCAATGAGTTTATTTTGGGAAGAAGTCATCTGAAGCAGAAGCCTTCATTTTTTCATGAAAAGTCTTTACCACTCAATTTCAAGTTAATTTTCTATTCATAACTTACTATTTTATGGAAGAGTTTATTTCTAGTGTTATACTTTATAACAAGCCTGTTCTTATGTAGTTGGCGTTGGCAGAATTATATGAAGATGAAGTGAAATGCAAATCTTCCAAGTCTGATAGACCTAAAGCTGCAGTCTTTAAGAGCCCACGAACGCCACCTCAGCGGTAAGTTTTGTTTTAAAAATAAATTATAACCCTTTTTAGTTCACTAATCCTAAATTATTTTAAACGATTTTGGAGTTTTTTTTAAAAATTACAATTTCTTAAATATTCTTTAGGTACTACTACTAAAGCTTTTACAGTCAGAAGGCTAAAAGAAACTTATGGAAAAAATTACCGTGAAATACCTGATGTTTTGGTAGGCGTTGTATGAAATTATATCATGAATAATTTTGTTCTTGGGCACAGTGGTTCTTTAATATTTTTTGAGTCATAGGACTCATAGAGAGCTCGATGAAGTCTACAGACCCTCTCCTCCCAAAACAACATCCATGTGCAATTTTGTCAGTCATTTTTAAGGGTTCATGTGTATCTTAAAGTCCATCCATGGAGCCTTTCTAGGTCTTTTGTCCTCCATTTAAGAATCTGTGACTTCTGGATTCTGTCTCTGCCTCCATCTCGTGATGATTTGACTAATAAGGTAGTATTTGCTCTTGTTAAAAATCCCTAAACTATAAAAAACAACCCACCAGGGAGATTTAAGAGATGAGAACCAGGTATATTTTATTGCCATGAGTATTCATGTTTGCCAGGAATATTTTCATTAACATGTTTTTAGTATGCAGATTTCATCCCTAGGAAGAAACTTGAATTTTCCCATTATATCTCATTCTCAGAAAGTCTGTAAGTTTACCAAAAGTTGAAAAATTCACAAGAAATTGTTTTTTGTCACTACTCCACATTCTCTCTTTCTGTAGGGGAGATAAAAATAACGTATCTTTCTGGACCTGAATGAAAAAAAATAATATTTATAATTTTTTCTCCCAACTTTTTATTTCACAAATTTTCAAACCCACAGAAAATTAAAAGACTAGTAGAGTGAATAAATACTGTGTGTGCTTCACCTGTATTCACCAGTTGTCAACATGTTATAACATTGCATTCACGCACACTCTCTCTCTTTTACTCAGCCGTTCGAAAGGACATTGTAGCCGTCATGACACTTCACCCCTAAATACTTGAGCACGCATCTCCTAGGAATAAGCACGCACTCCTTTATAACCTTGGTAACATACCTTAAAAAATTAACAGTAATTCTACCAATGTCATTGAATATATAGTCTGTAAGTCGGACATTTCTTTGGCTTTAGGATCCATCCAAGGACCACACATTGCATTTGATTGTGCCTGTTTTGAATTTTTGAATCCAGAGCATTTTTCGCATCTTTTTGTTTTTAGCTCAGCTACGTAATCTATTACATTGACTTTTTTGAAAAATCTAGGCCAGATGTCTTATAAAATGTCCCACATTCTAGGTCATTATCTCCTCATGATTAGATTCTTATTCAACATTTTTGTCAAGAATGCTAGATAAGTGGTATTGTCTATTTATTATATGACATCAAAAGTCATATAATTTCAAGTTTTTCAACTAGTGATGATGTGTTCACTTGGTTAAGGTGCTGACCACCACATCACTCCATCGTAAGGAAAAGTTGGTCCTTTGTAATCAGCAGGTTGGTATGTTGGGACTGTTTGAATATCTTATCCTTTCATTTAATTTTTATTTTTTGTGTATATGTTTATAATATATGTATTTAATTCTTATTTTTATGTATATAAAATATTTTAACTGCTTCCTTAATTTGTATATTCTCCCAGTTTTTGAAAGTACTTAATATATATTGATGTGTTTAAGTTTTATTCATTAACTATTTGATCACTGTTTCCCCAGTTTGAGCATATGTTGAATGACTTAATTTTCTCTTGATGTAGTGGATTAAAGTATTTGAGTTCCTACAATAAGACTAATGTATTAATATTTTCCTTGCTATTCAAATATGGTCACTAAGATATTTCAGTGAAGGGTTTTCCTCTTTTGTGCTATGTGAAACAATGTTGCCATTAGTATTTGTAATCCAGTTTTTTAAGGATTTTGTGCCTCACATTTGATCTCTGGAATTATTTACATATCTGAAAAAATGAGTTTCCTTAAAAGATACTGGTTGAGGCTCATACTGTGTTTAATCTGCTTATAATACAATGTGTAGCAAATTATCAGCAATCTTTTTTCTAAGTATGATATTTTCTAACACTATGCACTTCCTTTGATTTCATATTCCATATCAACATTAGCCCAGTTTTATTGTATTTCTACAGATTTGTTTGGTTTAGAAAACAGTGCTTATTTTCATGGCCCTTGGGCAGTATGATAAATCAAAACAGTTATCTTCTCATTGTCTCTTTAAGCCAAGATATTTTCATTGTGTGAAACTCTAAACATAGTATGGTTTGTGTTTTTAATTTACAAAAGGAGGTACATAACCTATAGAAAAACCCTCAGAAGAATAGAGTGATTCCTGTTTTAACATATTCATCCACAAAAGGTTATGTATCACAGAACTGAAATGTCTTCCACAAGTCATTATATGTTAGTAGAAGTATCGTTTTGAGAATTAAATGAGATAAAATATATAAGATGCTTAGCACAAAGTTGGTACTTACCTGGGCCTTAAAAGATTAAGATTTAGATAAGCACAGAAGATAAAGCACAAAATTCCAGGAACAAAGAAGCACACAGAAGAAGATAATCAAATTGACCAGAAGAATCAGAAAAGGAACCCGCAGAACTTTAGTGACTTAGTGGCAAATAAGGTTGGATGGGTGGAGGTGCAGCCAGCAGGGTTTCTCGGGCATATGACCTTTGCTGTCACTCAGTGCCCCATGCTCAGAAGAGCCCCATGCTTGGTTTAATGTTTTGCTGTTACTGTCTTAAAATTATTAATCAGTTTTGAACAAGGGACTCACATTTTCATTTTTCACTGGGCCCCACAAATTAAGTAGCCAGACCTGGATACAACCTTCAAAGCCAAGGAGATAAATTATACCTGTGTAGAAGGCAGTGGAAAGCCAGCATGTTTTTAAATGTAAATTTAATGATAAAACTATAATATAGTGTTAAAATCTTTGACTCTAGAGATAGACAGACCTCAGTTGTATTTTTTTCTCTCTGTTCTAATAAGGTTTTGCCAGTGGGCAAGTTATTTAACCTCCTCGTTTTTGTTTTTTCACCTGTAAAATGGGGATAATACCATTGTTATGAGGGTTAAATGAGCATATAGTCACCCCTTGATAAATGTTAGCTCTTATTATTTTGTCCTTGTAGGAAAGTGGAACAGAGAGTACCATATAAAATTATAGTAGGGCATGGTGGCTCACGCATGTGATCCTGGCACTTTGGGAGATCGACAAAGCAGAAAGATTGCTTGAGGGCAGGATCGAGACCAGCCTGGGCAATACAGTGAGACCCTGTCTCTACAAAAAATAAAACAACCAGGCATGGTGACACAATTCTGTAGTCCTAGCTACTTGGGAGGCTCAAGTGGAAGGATAGCTTGAGCCCAAGGATTTGAGGCTTTAGTAAATTATGATTGTGCCACTGCATTCTAGCCTGGGTGACAAAGTGAGACCCTGTCTCAAAAAAAAAAAAAATTGTTATGGGAAGAACAGGATAAGGAGGCAAAGAAACCAAGAAGAAAATAGTTGTGGTAATCTAAGGAGTGGGATAATGAAATTTTGGATTTAAGTGGTATTAACAGAATGGAGGAGAAAGGGTGATACTGACATAGGATACTTTCCTAAGGAATTTATTATAGAAACTTGATGACATGGGATGTAGGGAGTAAGTGAATAGGAAAGACAGAAAACTTAAAGGCTTTTAGTCTGGGACATAGAAAAATAATGTGATCGTTAATGAAGGGTTCATGTGTGGAACACAGTTTTAGTTTTGGAGTTGATAAACTTTATTTAAGTAGTACTAATCCAGTAGCTGCTTTTAAATTCAGCACTAGACCATAAGTGAGAGGGTGGTGAAAACATATAGTTGTGAATCATCTGTATACAACAGGTTGTCTTTGGCAGTGGATAAATATTTTGATGATGAAATGAGTTTAAATAGAGAATGGGAGTCAGGGACATGGGCATACTTAATTACCCAAGAGAAGGAAAAAGAAAACTCAGTAAAATAGAGGGGGAGCTGTTAGTTTCCACTGGGCAAAGAAACAACAGTTTTGGTATCATCAAAGTCCAGGAGAGACAGAGTTCAAATATGATGTGAGGAATGGGAGAAGGAGGGTAGGTTTAAAAGTATCCAATGTTTCAGAAAGTAAGTAATAACTGAGAAGAGTCTTTTGGGTTTGATGATACAAAAGTAACTCAGAACCTTTGAATAAAATAGATTCAGCAGCAACATGGGAGCAAAAATCTTACTGCAAGGAGAAAGTGCATGGTAAGTGCGGGCTCCAGGTACAGATATTATGGTTAAGTTTTGGGTCATCAATTAGGAGTTAAAGAGATGGGGAAAGGAGAATGTAGTCTTCAATAATTCATACTTATTTTCAATTGTTAAAAAATGTCAGGTTCATGAAGTAATGATTCTTTTATTTCTAATACTACTTCTCTGAGTAGTTCAATGTGAATTGACACTCAATAGAAATACTTTCACTTAATGGAGGGATACAGTAATCACATCATTACTGAATTGAAGTAATCAATAGGACATTAAAATCTGTTTTTGAAAATTTTACTAGTGTAAGAAAAAAAATTGACAATTTAAATATCACTCTTTCAGAAGCTTAAGAAAGAAGTCCAGATAAAAATGGAATTACAAGTTTTAAACTAATTTGAGTATGTCCCATGGTTTAATTTTGTCTGTATTTTTCTTTATTTGAGTAAAAGTATTAATATTTCCTTTTTCATGAATATTGATTAAACAGCTTACAAAGAATAGCTATTATATGTCCATTAAGAATAAATTTATTCATTCATCAATTTCAGTTGTGTCAGTTATTCTAGGGATGTAAAATATGGAGATCTTTAACTTCATAGAGTTTAAAATCTAATAAGGAAGCTGGATAAGAGAAATAAACAGGTAATAGGTATAAAATTATCCTATTTGTACCATATAATGTTTATGCCTTTAACTTTACTTGCGGCTGGGTGCAGTGGCTCATGCCTGTAATCCTAGCACTATGGGAGGCCAAGGTGGGAGGATTGCTTGAGCTCAGGAGTTGGAGACCAGCCTGAGCAAGAGCAAGACCCTGTCTCTACTAAAAGCAGAAAAATTAGCCAGGCGTGGTGGTGCGGCCTGTAGTCCCAGCTACTCAGAAGGCTGAGGCAGGAGGATTGCTTGAACCCAGGAGTTTGAGGTTGCAGTGAGCTATAATGATGCCATGGCACTCTAGCCAGGGCAAGCAAGCGAGACTCTGTCTCACAAAAAAAACAAAAGAAAACTTGCTATTAATATTACTGCTAAATTTATTTTAAATGTTTTGAATTTCTTTTATTATCTGGAAGTGGTAAAAGTATTATAATTTATATTAGACTCTAAAAAGGAGAATTGTATGTAGTAACTCTGGAGTAGTATCCAAAAGAAAAATAAAATAATGTATAACTAACAAGGGAAATAAAACAACAGTTATTTGACTAATTCAGCAGAAGGCACGAAAGAAGAAAATAAGGAGCATAAAGCATAATTACATTATAAATATACGAATATATATAGCAATAGTTATATTAAATATAAATGGTCTAAATCTGTTTAAAGGACAGATTGGCAAGTTGAATTAATAAAAACAACTCTGTGTGGCTTATGAAAGGTAAATGTTAAATATAAGGACACAGAGAGACTGAAAGGAAAAGGATGCACCATGCAAACACTAACCAAAAGAATGCTGGTACAGCTATACTAATATCAGATAAGACGTCCTTAAGGCAAGAAGCACTACTGAAGTTAAAGAGGAGACATTTCATAATGATAAAATGTCAGTTCAACCAGAAGATACGATGATTCTAAATTTGGTTACATGGCTTAAAATATATAAAGTGAAAATCACAACATTCATAATTTTAGGAAACAGCAAACTGAGAATAAAGGGATCAACTTAATCTGATTTTAAATGATCTACAGAAAACCTGTGAAGATCACAGTTAACAGTAAAATAGTGAAAGATTTCCTTCTGGAGTTGGGAACATAGCAAAGATAACCCCTGTCACCATTTTCATTCAACCTGTACTGGAGGTTTTAGTCAGCAGAATGAGGTAAGGAAAACAAAAGTATACAAATTGGAAAGAAAGAAATAAAACTCTTTATTTGCAATGACATGATTGCATACAAAAAAACTACAAAAGCCTCTTTAGTCAAACTACTTGATTTAATAGTGTGTTTAACAAGATCCTAAATACAAGATCAATATTCAGAAATCAGTTTTATTTCTATATACAAGTAGAAATATTAGAAGCTTACATTTTAAAAAGATAGCATTTGTATTCAAAAATATCAAATGCCTGGGAATAAATCTAACAAAAACTGCAAAAACCAGTACCAGCAAACTATAACACAGAAGACCCAAAGGAAGGGTGACCTTCAGAATTGGAAGATTTAATATTAAGCCATATCCTATAAATAGTGGGGAAGGGTTTAATGCAAACTAATAAGCAAATTCTAAAAGTTTTAGGAAAATACAAAGGATCGAGAATAAACACATACATGTTTTTGATCTGGCTTATCCTGTTTGAATGTAAGCTCCATAAAGACAAGGACTTTGTTTTATTTAATGCTGGATGGTACCTAGAACAGTGCCTTGCATGTAGCAAGCACTCAACAAGTATTTGGTGAATGAAAAAATGAAAATATAGTGACCAATATTGCCTTTCACAAGTCTCTGAATTTGGGGAATTTATAGTTGGTTAAGGGATTTCCAAGTGTTCTAGAAATCAAAAATAGTTTTATCATTCTTGGTATTTCTTCCTTCTGCTAATGAAAGGGAATTTTATTCCTTTTCATTTATATTTAGTAAGTTAGTTTATATGAGCATACAGTATTATTAATACTTCAACAGTCAATAAATATTGTTAGTCCCCCCCCAAAAGAAAACAGTAGCCAGAATATTCATGAAGAAATAAAACAAAGTTGAGGACTTACAATACTGGATATAAAGATTTACTTTTAAAACTGCAATAGTTACGAGAGTAAGGATTAACAGTAAACCAATGGAACAAAATAGAGAACTCAGAATCATAAACACATGCTTGATTTATGAGAAAGAGGACACTGCAGAGCATTGAGGGGAGAGAATTTCATTACATGGTACTGGGACAAATGGACATTTATATGGGGAAAAATAATTCCTGGGCCTCTACCTTATGCCATCTGAGAACATCAGTTCTGGATGGGTTGTGGATCTAAATGTAGAAATTAAAACAATAAAACTTCTAAAGAAAATAGAGTATCTTCATGACTTTGGGGGAGGCAAAGATTTGTTAAATAAGTAACAAAGGCCATAAACCATAAAGGAGCTAGCAAATAATTTCCTGTGGCTGATTTTTCCAGTAAAATCTTTCTCATCAAGACAGATAAAAAGGAATGATTATTTGCTTTGTGAGATGAGAAACCTGGGACAGGGAAGGAGGGAGATACAACAGGAGATAGCTGCAGCAGGAAGCTTTGCTTTGCTTTTCTGTATTTGTCACAGCTGCCTAAAATCATCTGCTATCAAACTCCTTCTAATACTAATTCTTAGGAGCCAGCTAGGGCAGTGTTCAGCCTTGCTTACTACCCTGAACTCTTGAGTTTAAGCTTGGGAGGAATACTTCCATAGGCTCCTGCTCTGGGGAAACTTGGACCCCAGTATACTTCTCCAGAGCCCTGGCAGGATGAACAGCCTCCCCCTTCAGCAGTTACTGGGGTTCAGCTGGTGTCTATTTGTCCAGGTGGATTTTTTTCCTTCATTTACAGAGAAATGAGAGCTGATCTGCTCTTCCCTCTATCAGTTTTGCATACACTAATTTGGATGGAAGAAAGTCTTGACGGTGACCTCGGTTTCTAGTCTCTAGTGCTCATATAATTTCCCCCCATTGTTTTGTTTTGTGAGTCAGTTCAGTGTGAATTTGGAACTGGATTGCAGTATGAATAGTTCTACATGAGCTTTGTCATCATACTAGAAGTCTCTATGTTGATACTTCATTGGTTATATTTTCTGATATCCTTGATTGAAAAGACCTTGGAAGCTGAAAAAGTAGGGTATTAATCTTATATAAGGGAAATTTTTATGTTCTGTAGGACCATATATGAAGTTGGAATCAGAGTAGAAATTAATCATTGAAAAACTATCTGAATTATTTGCTTTTAACAAATGCGGGGAGTTTTAGTTGAGTAGGTTTCTTTTCAGTCCAAAAATCTCTAAAGAATAAACCTTCTATGTATAGCCCTGTAGTTTAGAGTTAGATGTTTATACTCTGTATACCTAGAGGTCTCCTCCCTAACTAGGTCTCTACTGAGTGTGGCCTTTCTTAGGGGGAAAGGACTAGCTTATTTCCACTGAAGTCACAAGAATGCCTCTTTTTAAATAAAAGTTATTTCATAAGACTATGTAGCTGTTTACTTTAAAGTACTTTTTTGTTAGTTTATATTTTTATTTATGAACTATAATGTTTAAAGGTTTTATTCAAGTGAAAATGAATACAGTGGATTACATATAGTTCGACCTTCAACTGGGAAAATTGTGAATGAACTTTTCAAAGAGGCAAGGGAACATGGGGCTGTCCCTCTGAATGAAGCCACAAGAGCTTCAGGTGATGACAAATCTAAGGTCAGTACTCAATTTTAAAACTACTCTATTTCTGTATTTGATTTCCTCTATCATTTTTTATATTGTTTATAAACATTTTTCTAACTATGTTTTGGGGGAAGGGAAGAAAAAAAACTATGTTTTTCTTAAAATATTTGTTTCATTTTTATAAGGTTATATTCTTTCCATTAATGATTCACAGTTGAGGCAATTTCTTACATTTCTATGCAATTTTTTAATTTATCTTTTAATTTTGAAATAATTATCCATTCACAGGCATTTGCAAAAAGAATACAGGGAGGTCCCATGTCCCTTTCATCCCGTTTCCCCCAATGGTTACATCTTACATGATTTTAGTGTAATATCAAAGCCAGTAATTTGACATGGGTACAATGTGTGTGTACAGTTTTCTATCATTTCATCACGTGTAGATTTGTGTAATTGGCCAACTCAGTTGAGATACCATTCCATCATCACAAAACTCTTCCTACTCCTTTGTAGGCACACCCTGATCCCTCCCTCTCTCCTCCCATAACCTCTAGCCATCACTAATTAGTTTTCCATTTCTATAATTTTATAGTATTGAGAATGTCATACAAATGGAATCATAGACTATGTGACCTTTTGGGAGTAGCTCTTTTCACTCAGCATAATTGCATGTGTCAATACGTTATTCCTTTTTAATTCCTGAGTAGCATTTCATGGTATGGGTATACCACAGTTTAACCATTCATTTATTGAGGGACATTTTAGTTGTTTCTGGTTTTTGACTATTACAAATAAAGCTGCTGTGAGCAATTGTGTATGGGTTTTATTTTACTTATATAACTTTTCATTTCTCTGGGATAAATGCCCAGGAGTACAATTGCTGGGTCATACATTAAGTGTAGGTTTGGTTTTTGAAGAAACTACCAACCTGTTTTCCAGAGTGGTTGTGCCATTTTATATTCTCATAATGTATGAGAGAGCCAGTTTCTCTACATCCTTACCAGCATTTGGTATTGTCACTATTTTTAATTTTTGCCATTTTGATGGGTGTGTAGTGCTAACACTGGTTCTAATTTGTATTTCCCTAAGGACTAATGATGTTAATTTACGTTTTCCTAATGACTAGTAATATTGAACATCTTTTCATGTGCTTATTTGCTATTATCTTTATTATAATGTCTCTTCATGACTTTTGCCCATTTTCTAATTGGATTTTTTATTTTGTTACTTTTGAGTTTTGAGGATTCTTTGTATATTTTAATAGGTCTGGGTCCTTTGTCAAATATATGGTTTGCAAATATTTGCTCCCAGACTGTAATTTGTATTTTTATCCTCTTATCCTCTTAACAGGGTTTTTCACAGAGCAAAAGTTTTAAATTTTGATAAAATCCAATTTATTCTTTTTCTCTTTAGCAGTTCATGCTTTTGGTGTCTTGTCTAAGAACTTTTCACCTAAATGTGGGTCCCAAAGATTTTCTCCTATATTATCTAGAAAAATTTTACATTTAAATCTATGATCCATTTTGAGTTGATTTTATAAAAGGTGTGAGGTTTCCATCAAGGGTCATTTTTTTGCTTATGATGCACAGTTGCGCCAGCATCACTTGTTGAAAGGCTCTTCTTCCTCCATTGAATTGCTTCTGTACCTTTCTAAATTTCTGTAAACTTTTTATAGAGCTTTTATATCGACTGACACAGTATTGGTATATTGAAGAATAGTTCAAGTGTCTTTTTTAGTATAATTGTCATATATTCTTACAATCAGCATTTCTCAACCTGGAATTTCCCTATCAAAATCATTTGAGGAGGTTATGAAACTTAAATTTTAGCTTTCATTTCATTATTTGTTAACAGCTTGAAATTCTTTGAGTCAAGTCTTAAGGTAATTTTGGCTCTTGTGGATTCTCTAATTTTGTAAGAAAATTGTGGAATTGATATGATTTATTCTATGGAGAAGAAAACAATGATAATTAAAAGCTCATTCATGATATAAAAGGTGATTAAAAGGAATAGCATTTTTACCTCATAAGCTATCCTATTTGAAGAATAGAAGACCTTGTAATTAGTATAGCAAAATAAAAAGTGCAGTCATAGCTGACTTGTTACAGTTGCATAAAAGCAACTTATAAAATAAGGATAGAGCTTTTGTTAGGGTGGTTCATACCCATTTATAAAATCCTTCCTTTGTGAAACATGATTTAATCATTGTAATTTTTATTAAAAGACTTGTCACAAAATATTAAGGGTAGTTTTTTTTTTAATTTATCTATACTTGAAAATATATATTTCAGTGTATAAATGCATATCTTAGTGTAAGGTTGGCCTGTATTATTAATATTTCAGTTTCTGAGTCACTAATGTTTTTATGGAAAGAAACATAATTTTTTACTTGAGTATACTTCTCTATAATAAGACTTTCATTCTAATATAAAATTTTTTGGGTAAGTATGAACCAGTTTGGATAATTACAGCTTATCTAGTTTTAAAATATATATTATATGTTATAATATTTTAGTGAATAATCCTTAGTGAATTTTTAACTCATTTGCTATGTATTTTAGTCATTTACAGGTGGAGGATACAGATTGGGTAATTCCTTTTGTAAGAGGTCTGAATATATCTATGGAGAAAATCAGCTACAAGATGTAGGTACAATAACCAAAATGAAAAAGTATAAATATTTGCCTCTACTTACTACTGTTTGTTTTAAAATTAAAAATTGATAATATAAATATATTTCTCTTGTTATTTTTTGAAACCTTGGTTAAAAAGACCAACGTGGGCTGGGCGCAGTGGTTCACACCTGTAATCCTAGCACTCTGGGAGGCCGAGGCGGGCGGATCATTTGAGCTCAGGAGTTCGAGACCAGCCTGAGCAAGAGTGAGGCCCTGTCTCTACTAAAAATACAAAGAAATTAGTTGGACAACTAAAAATATGTAGAAAAAATTAGCCGGGCATGGTGGCGTGTGCCTGTAGTCCCAGCTACTTGGGAGGCTGAGGCAGGAGGCTCGCTTGAGCCCAGGAGTTTGAGGTTGCTGTGAGCCAGGCTGATGCCACAGCACTCTAGCCCGGGCAACAGAGCAAGACTCTGTTTCAAAAAAAAAAAAAAAAGACCAACATGTAAGCTTTCAGTCTCAATTTTTATTTTGTATGTCAGTCATGCTTTGCATTTAGAGATACACAACTATTTGTTCAATGTGTGATTCACTGTCAAAATGAACATACAGGTGAGCCCAGTGGTACACACCTATAAATTCCAGATATTTGGGAGACTGAGGCAAGAGGATCACTTGAGCCCAAGAGTTGAAGCCCCGCCTGGGCAACATAGCAAGACCCCATCTCTTTAAAAAAATGTTTAAGAAAATGGACTTTATATGTATAGATTATAATTATTATAAATGGTAGATTGTCATAATATAAACATTTTAGCTAAGTTATAAATGTTAGAATACCTAAAGTCATTCTTTGCTTCTGTTGCTTTTTGAAATTTTGGCGTTTTAATTTTCATTTTAAACCTTGATATATTCTTGGATCATCAGTGCAAATTCAGTCTTGCCCCTTGGCATGACTGTTTAAGCTCTGTAGCACAGAAGAGTGTAGTGTGGGTGTAGACGAAGGAAGAGGGTAGGAGTAGTGGGGTGCAGCTGGATGTTCTCTTCTCATTACTTTTATTTTCTAATGAACCATGAGTAATTGTACTTCAAGACCAGGGTCCAGTTGTGGGACCTTTGGCATTTGCTGTCATTGTCAGTTTGTTAAGCTAAATACACATCTGCTAAGAAAACATATCTGGTTTCACTTATGTCTTTATAAATAAAGAATAGCATAAATAATTCCCTATTTTAAATTAATTAAATGGTTTAATATGTTGTAAGATATCACATTTGTAACTATTTGTAACTTAAAATTGTTTGGGAGAGATGTATTCTTATATATTTTTTTTTTTTTCCTATGCCCAAAAGGTTCAGATTTTGCTTAAACTGTGGAGCAATGGCTTCAGTTTAGATGATGGAGAATTGAGACCTTACAGTGACCCAACAAATGCTCAATTTCTGGAGTCTGTTAAGAGAGGGTAAGATGTATTATTTGTATTCTGTTCATTACTTAGAGTGGGGCTATTTTTTTTTTGAACAGACTGTAATCAGTAGTGCACTACTGGTTTTCAAGAGTTGGTTCCTGGAAAATATTGTGTTAAGTGGTTGCCAGGGGTATAATATTCTTGAGTCTATAAAGGATATATTGCTATCTGTAAGTCATTGGTTCTTAACTTTGTGGGTCGGGGGCATTGGACATTGGCCCATTTTGAAATCTGATGAAATTATGGACCTAATTCCAAGAAGAAACATCTTAATGTAATAATCAGTGAATTGATTAGCATGTAGCTGCCCATCCACTAAGCCACTGTCCTGCTTACCGTTGACAGGGTGACTCTCATTGCATGTATGCCTGAAATTCAACTTATATTAGAAATTTTTTAAAGTGGCATTACTGCTGGTAGAAGATTTTGCAAGGTTAGTTGGAAGTTAAAATTTGTGAAAGTAAACCAAATATTCAGTTTTCTGACCCATTCAAAGAACATTGTAACTTACCAGCTTTTCTTGCTAAAGGATGAGAAATCAAATGATTTTGCTATGATAATAAAAAGCTTTTCTATGTTAAGATTTTACTAGCTGACAGTTATTCCTAAATAGAAATACGACTAAAGACACAAGGTTGATCATAAACTGGAAGACTAGTAGCAGGAAGGGACCAGAGTAGGGGGGTTATACTCCATACAGGAATTGAAGGTGGAGCTTTTCCAAGTGATGAAATGCGTCCAGGGAGAGTAGCTGAGGTGGAGTGGGGATTAAATTCATTGGAGTCAAAGTAGCCAATGAACTCTGAAAGAAATTAGTTTTAGAATTACTTTTAGAAAACAAATTAGTATGAATTTTGAATTTAAATTCTATACAGATAATGTTAGGGTACCAAATAAAGGCAAGAAATGCTATAAGTATGCCAAAGTCGTTGAGAAAGTCAGAAAGCTGTCCTAGGAGGCAACATATGGTGGTGGCAATTACAGGATATAATAGTTTTAAGTCAAAGCGATGGACTTGGAGACCTGCAGAAGCATTGGGAAGGGCTGGGGAGGCTGGGCGGGGGAAGTGTTCATCTGCTAAGCGAAGACCAGTGTAACTGTTGAAATTGATGCTAATTTCAAGATAGTGGAAGATAAGAACATACTGATGATGAATGTGCTATTATATAGATTAAAAACTAATTTATTGTTAAATGAAAATAATCTATAAACTTTGTAGGCTAGTGTTTAAACAGACATAGTATATTAAAAGTATTTTTAAATTTGAGCCACACAGTAGCCTTGAGTACAAATTCTGATTATGATTAAGAAGAGTTTTAGAAAAGACTCCTTGAAAAAAATAAATGATGTCAAATAGTGGTTCTCAACTGCATAAGGTCCATTGACTCTTTTTTGTAATAAGTATTTTGTAACACCATCTATACTATCCTCAAAGAAGAACTCATAGATGATATAATCTACCTGTGTACATTATTTCCCGAAATATTGATATAGTATTCTACTTAAATATATTGAAGAAATAAAGGAAAGTAATTTGTCATAAAATGATACATATTTTAAGTTATGAATGCTCAGGTATGACCACACCAGGATATGTAAGTAGTCAGGTAATTTGTACCTGTATGCAGTCTAGCACTTCTCAGGTAAAAGTGACAGGTATAAAAACAAGGATGAAGTATGTGAAGTTGTAAGTTTAATTACTACAAGTGGCATTGCATTCAAGGACTTGGTAAAGTTCCAAACCAACTACAGTCTTACCTCAGTTTACATGATAGTGCATTCCTGGAAATTTCAACATATATTAACACAATAGCCCCCAAAATGTATTTTTCTTGTAAGACAGAATTAGGTTTCAGGCTCAGACATGATAAACAGCGTTGTCATCCATGTGACTCCCTGGAGAGCACCTGGCAATTCTGCAGAGCCCAAGTCCCTGTGTGCGACGAAGCCCCTGTTGCAGTGCATCTTACACCCCTGTCCCTGACACTGAGTGACAGCAGTGCTCCCATCAGTCACCCGACGAGTGTATCAATTTTCAGAACTTTCTCCAGGGAGTTTATAAATAAATATCCACATTAACCGTTTATCCTCATAGGAATTGTCTGGTGCTAATTTTAACTTTTTAAATGTCAGAAGTACTCCAAGATGACCGACAAGCAGAAACATCCCTATGTCAAAAACCACTAAGGAATAATGGAGGTAACTTTAAGAAAGAAAAATCTACAAGGACTAATCAATCCTCATGGAAATTTTTATATTTTATAATTTAAGCAAAAATTGCTGTTTTCCAGTGTAGCTCATGACTTCATTACAGTCATCTCAACAGTGTAATTTTTGAAAAACTTAATTAAAACCTTTCTTCCCTCTTTTTAAAAGAGAGATTCCCCTGGAGCTTCAACGCCTGGTTCATGGTGGCCAAGTGAATTTGGATATGGAGGATCATCAGGATCAAGAATACATAAAACCTAGATTGAGGTTCAAGGCTTTCAGTGGAGAAGGGCAAAAACTTGGAAGGTAAAAATCCTAAAATGAGAAAAATACTTGTCTTTGTTCAACATGAATTTTCTTTGAGAATAAAAAGAGCAAAACGACCTGTAAAGTAAAAACTGAAATATGAACAATGAAGACCTTGCAGGTGGAATTAGATATAAAAATCTGGTAATAATATTAGTAACTAATACTTAGATAGCAATTACCGTGATCCCAGCCCTCTAAGCAATTTACATGCATTATCTCACTTAATCTTCACAACTTTGGTGTCAATAGTGTTATTACTCCATTTTGCAGATGCAGTAATTTGCCCAAGTTGATTGAGCTAGGAAATGACTGGCATGTGGGATTCAAACCTAGAAACTCTGGCTCCAGAGTTTGTGCTTTTTACCACTATGCCAGGTTACCTAGTTTCAAAAAGAAAAATTGTAAAGCATTGTTAAGATTTAAAAAAATGGATATCTTACATCACAACTTTAAATGCTTAAAGTTGTGTCTGCCATAAGTAATTATTAGGCCCTTGCAGCAGGAGCAATGTGCTTTGCATGATGATTTTCAATAGTTTTTAAGCAGCCAAACTCTTTCTGAATGTTATGAAAGCCCAATATGTAAAACACATGTAAAACCTGAGTTCTTCTGATTGTAAGTGAAGGAAAGAATTGTCTGTGAGACATTTCCAAAGAACTCCTAGGACTTTGAAAAGCACAACTTAAAAACCAATGTGCCGGTGGGCGCGGTGGCTCACGCCTGTAATCCTAGCACTCTGGGAGGCCGAGGCGGGAGGATCGCTTAAGGTCAGGAGTTCGAGGCCAGCCTGAGCAAGAGTGAGACCCCATCTCTACTAAAAAATAGAAAGAAATTAGCTGGACAACTAAAAATATATAGAAAAAATTAGCCAGACACGGTGGCTCAGGCCTGTAGTCCCAGCTACTCAGGAGACTGAGGCAGAAGGATTGGTTAAGCCCAGGAGTTTGAGGTTGCTGTGAGCTAGGCTGATGCCACGGCACTCTAGCCCAGGCAACAGAGCAAGACTCAGTCTCCAAAAAAAAAAAAAAACCAGTGTGCATGGCAGAATGTGTGAGTGGACTCCTTTATAATTACCATAGCTTAACATAATCTTCATAAATCTTGTAAAATATGTTGGTAAAGATCACCCTCCACTTGTCCACATAGTATTGCAGGTGATATGGAATTGCTGCGTTGGCAACATTTCCAGCATACCCTTTTGTGCATCCTTTGTTCCTTTCTATGTGATTCCTTTCCTTCCAACTCCTTTTCAGTTGCCTTGTGCACACTGGTTTTCTATTCCTCTCTCATTCTCAAAATAGGGAAGACTTCAGTATCAGCTTTTTATACTTGTCTTTGCTATCTCTAGTCTCCTTTTCTGAATCCTTTTCTCCTGATAGAGATTGATTGCTGGGACATATAGGGAATACAGGAATAAGTGTTGACTTGTTTTTTTTAGGACCCAAACCCTTTAGTGCCCAATCACAGGTCTACTTGGAAATTTTCTCCCTCATCTCTTTCCTGCCAACACCTGTCAGGCTTCTCTTGAATTGTGCTATTTCCTCCCTCCTCTTATTATGAGATATTTATAATAGATTTATAGGATATTTATGAGATTTACAAGATATACATATATATTTAATTTTCTAGCACCTCTCATTTTTATTTAATATTTGTTGAGATTCTGATTTTGAGTTAGAATACAGATAAAATGTCTAGTCATCTCTTTGCTATGTACGTATTCTTTCTCTATTATTTAAATTTATGACCAAACATTAATTTTAGAATGCACATCTTTGTTAGTAGAAGTATAGTAAATCTAGAATTGGAATTGAAGATAGTGTAAAGGAAAGGCAGCTGAGAAGAGCCAGTGATTACGATCTGTAAATTCACCTCATGAAAATAAGGATATTATCCGATGATAGTATCTCACAGAGGCCAGTCTTTTTTCTTATAAAGCAAATAGCTAAAGAAAATGATGGAAAAGAAATAAGAAGCTAATAGAAGAGAATGACAGAGATCACTGGTGAGAATGCCATGTTAATTACTAGCCATATTAATCAGGTATTTGATTCTAGAAAACAATCTATTGCTAGTTTAAGTAGTGTGGGATTTCTATAGGGTCTTGGGTAGTTTATAGAATTTCTGGAAGAGATAGCAAACCAAGCTTTCCTTAGGAGAAACAAACATAATAGAAGAATGTTCTGGAGAAAACACCTCATATCCTACCCCACCCCAAATCAGGTACTCGGTGCCCACAAAGCTAGGGACCAAATACTAGAACATTCTGTCATAGAAGAACCACTGTCTTCACCACCTTGGTAACCGGAAGAGCTGCATAGTTTCCACTTCACAAATACATACTTTCACTATACAAATATATATTTGCTTGATGGAAAGGTAGAATCATATAAAATCCTAGCTGCAAGGGAGTCTGTGAAATATAGTCATTAGAACTTCCAGCTTCTAGTGTATAGGAAAGTTACACTAGAAGATTAGTGTGGTAGTGTTAGCCTATATGCACATGGACCCAAATGTTGAATAAGTGAATATCATATTCTTTTAAAAAGTGAAGAGTTGCATAGAACACTTTACATTAAGGATTTACATTAAGAAACATATTAAAATAAAAATTTAAAAGTTAACATTATGTAGAAAGTAACTTTCTAAAACAGCTCATTTCTCAAGGGTTCCAGACAATTAATTTACTGAACAGAGAAATAAAAATAATCAAGTAAAACAGAAATGGGAATAATCCATTGTCTTCCATAAATGGCAGTCTTATTACAAATGAACATCACATAGATGGAAACTAACTTAATTTTTTATTGTGATATACGAACAATTATGGAACAAACTTAAATGCAGTAAAAAAATTACCCAATACCCTCACGTAATATAACAGAAGCAAGCAAATCATAGATGTAAAACTGCAAATTCACAATTATAGTTCAAACTGTATTATTGAATAAAAATTAACTTGCTAAGCTAGAGTAGAGCCCGACAAGGAAAAGACCTAGAAATCACAGAATCATTTTTGATAGGCAGGACTAGCAAGTAGACATTCACTGTAGGCTTTTGAGCTGCCATGTATAATGATAAAAATCATGATTTGAAGCAGATTTCTGCTTAAGAACAGTCACTCCCTGTTCATCATACTGTTCAGTCCGAAAGATTGTGCTGGCCGTTCCCACTCACCTGAGGTTTGACCTTGTCTTGGTCCCTGAACCCCTGAGGGCTCTTTTCTCTAAAGCTTAACAGCCCCTTCCTTCCTGCCTTTCCTTCCCTTTCTTATCCCAGCTCTTCGGCAGCCCCTCACCTGGCTGCAACCTAGCTGTGCTGGGCCGGCAGTGCTGGCCTCCTCATTCTCCCGGGGCTGACCACAGTGCTCTCTGCTTCTCTAAGCCCCAGATTCTACCCCTGCCCTCCCTCTCAAAAGATTCTTTTGCTTCCAGCTTCACTAGAAAATACAGCCCGACAGGAATTAACTTTCTTAATATGTTTCCCCCAGCCTCCAAGTTTAGTGATAACTGTATCCATCTTTCCTTAAGTTTGGAGAAGAAGTTGTTTCCCCTCCTGTCTGAGGCAATTATAGCCCACATCCTTTCTTCCCGTTTGCCTAGAAACCTTGTTTTATCAATTAATTTCCCACTCTTTCTTTAAAAAACACATCCCCGTGTTAGGGATGCTGAACTGCTGGCACAGTAAACCAGGTTGGCAGTGCAACTATTTAAGCTCTCAGTTCTGAACTTGAAAAAAATTCTTAATATCTGGTCATTTATTATAAATCATCATCTTCTCTTTTTTCATATCTTTATCACTTATATTCTCAAATAGGTTCTAAAATCTGTCAGGAAACAGCTAAAGAAAGGGGAAGTGTTAGCAGTAAGTACCACTAATTTTACTAATTTATCACGTATACTCTGAGAGACACTTTTTGAATGGGAGTAAGGGTCATGATGAGTTTGATTTGCGTTGGACTAAAGCCCAAATGCTCATAGAACTTTTATACTAATAAATATGTTGATACATTTCTTTTTATTCAAAAGGAGATAATTTATAGGAAGCCATCTAGATCTCAGTATTCAAGAGAATAAACATCAAGACTGTCAAAGAATCCCTCAAGATGACTGAGAGAATATTAACATTTTACGACTATAAAGAATTTGGCTAGGCCAGGCACATGGCTTACACCTATAATTCCAGCACTTTGGGAGGTAGAGGATTGCTTGAGGCCAGGAGTTTGCCTGGGCAACAGAGCAATACCCCATCTACAAAAATTTTTTTAAAAATTAGCTGGGCTAATGGCGGTACTACAAGTATGGTGGTGCATAGCTGTAGTACCAGCTACTCGGGAGGCTTAGGTGGGAGGATCACTTGAGCCACACTGAGCTATGATCACGCCACACTGCACTCTGGCCTAGGCAACAAAGTGAGACGTCACTTCTAAAAAAAAAAAAAAAAAGAATTTGGCTGAATTTGTTTTAATCTTTTAACCAAAAGAGCACTCTATTTTTGACATTCACTTTTGAGTTGTACTGACTAATCATCCTGGTAGACGTTAGAAGGTACTAAGAAAGCAATGCTGAGGTCACTAGTAATCAAAGTCAAATGGTAAAGTTCTATCAGATAAGTTTTATTATAAATTCATCACCATGTGTACAATTTTTTCCTCACTGATAACTTACGAGTTATTTCTCTTTTGCAAAGCAGTAAGTACAATCATATATTTTTAAGTGATATTAACCAAGTTGTAATTAAATGAATAGTACTGATAATATGTGCAAAATAGCAGGCACCTGTTGAAACACTATGTTTTAGGTACTATATCAAGGACTTACTGGTATAATATACCTTCATAACATGATTATTAGTCCCCTCATTTTATAAATGATAGAGCTGGGATAGAGATTTATGTACTCACTGAAGTTTGCACAGTTGATATAGCTAGGATTTGAAACCAAGTCTGTGCTCTTAGTCATTCTTTGACATGAATTCAGAGCTGTTCAGATTTCTAACTAAATAAACCTCTGTGCTAAACAGTCTGATGAAATTTCAAAGAGATAAAGGAGGAAAGGATACAAAGTTAGGCTTTTGAGAGATTGGATAAATAAATCATAGGATCCAAAATAATTTTTATATGATAAAAGAGGTTAAAAGAAGTATAGGAGATGCAAATGAAGCCATGTTCTTGCTATTCGAAAAGTCATATGGGGATCACTTGAGAATCAACTGTAGATCTAAGTGTCTTCATTTTGTCCTGTGTCTTATGCGTTCAGATTTGTGTTCTAATTCTTTAATTCTTCTTTCTTAGCCTTACACCTGAAATAGTCAGTACACCTTCCTCCCCAGAAGAGGAGGATAAATCAATACTTAACGCAGTTGTTCTCATTGATGATTCCATGCCAACAACAAAAATTCAAATCAGGTTAGCAGATGGAAGTCGTTTGATACAAAGATTCAATAGTACACACAGGTAAACTTCTTTGCTGGCAAAGTTTCTAATTTGCTGTTATATGCAAGTGTCTCGTCTTAGTAAAATTGTATGTGACCTGAATAATGAAGTATATGATATTCTTGAGATATACTTTGAAGTTTTTGACAGAAGAAGAATTTTTAAAAGGATAATAGCTGTGTATAAGAAGTGAAATACATGGTATTTAAATGATCTCTGTAAACCATCCAAATACTAATACAAATTCAGATATCACACAAAAATAAATTAAGAGCTGTAGTTTTGCATTGTTGGTAAAACCATATGAAGTAAAATCAGATTTACCTTAATATAGTAAAAGCTTATTTGGACCTTACTTAAAAATTTATGATAATTCTGATTGGGATTAACATTCTGTGTAACAAATTCTTTGTAATAGAAATGTATGGTGTAAGTAAAGTTTAATTGTTCTCTTATCAAGTTCTACATGTAAACTTTTAAACTTCCTTTAACATTTACTTTTGTGTAGACATTTGTTGTGCTCATTATTATTTATATTTGTTCATTGAGCAAGACCCTAAAGGATACATTGATGTTCCTAGTTGAGTTACTATGTATAAGTAACAATAATTTTTTAAAATTATTCTTATGACTTAACACTTTTCATAGTTATTGACTCACCTTGCCACAGGCCAATCATGGTTATCTTTTTTGGGGGTCATAAGCTGCTAACATATTTTACACTCTGAAAAAAGTAGGACCTGCACTTTCAGTATAGCAACATTGTTATACTTATTTTATGCATTACTCACCTGAAGATTGTTTGTATTTTACACTAAATGTTATGCATACTCCAGAGTTAATCCTTACATTTTACCTTAAAGCTAAGATAAATTCTTCCATTGAAATAATGTGTATTAAAGTTATAACACTTTTAAATAAGAGTTAAAATTGTGCGATTTTTATTATCTAATTTTAGCTAAAAAGCTTACGTGAAAATATGGTTCTTTGTATCACAAATTATTTTTATTTTATTTCTTCAGGATTCTGGATGTCCGGGACTTTATTGTGCAGTCCCGTCCTGAATTTGCAACTCTTGACTTTATTCTTGTGACTTCATTTCCAAATAAAGAACTAACAGATGAAAGCCTGACACTACAAGAAGCAGATATTCTTAATACTGTGATACTCCAGCAACTAAAATAATACTGCTCTTACATGCAGTAGCATGTGGGAATAGATAATGTGCCATATTAATAAGGAAAATACTTCCAGCATTAAAAACAACCAGGTTATTTTTATTGTTTTTACAGATGAATTTTGGCCACCTGCATTCCTTGGCTTGTGGCCCCCTTCTTCCATCTCAAAAGCCAGCACCATTGCATCTCTCTGACCCTTCTGTGATCACGTCGCCCTGACAACAGCCAGGAAAGGTTCTCTGCTTTTAAGGACTCATACTGATTTAGATTGGGTCCACTGGATAAGCCAGGATTATCCCTCTATCTTAAGATCTGTAGTAACTTTAATCACATCTGCAAAGTCCCTTTTACCATTTAAGGTTACACAGAGGTTTGGGGATTAGGGCATGAACATTTTAGGGGGAACATTATTCTGCCTAACTACCCTGTCCCAAAGATTCACATCTAACAAAGGTGCTCAAATGTCTTAACCCATTATAGCGTCAACTCAAAGTCTAAAATCTTGTCAGAAGCTCACGAACTCAAAAGTCCCAAATCTCATCATTTACATCATCTAAATTAAGCATGGGAGAGGATCTGGGTATGATGCCTGGGTTGTAATTCCTGTCTATGCACCTGTGGACCTAGAAAACAAGTTATCTGCTCCCAAATATGAAGGCAGGACAAGCAAAGAATAACAGTTATATACATTCCTGTTCAAAAAGCAGAAAATGGAATGAAAAAAGGAGCCACCAGCACCAGTGAATTTGTAAATCCAGCCAGTCACACTTAACTAAGTTTTAAGGCCTGAGATTGAGCTTCCTTGGCTCCCAGCTCAGTTCTCTGGGCTTGTAACTCCATCTCAGAGTCATCTTTCCTTTTTTCACAAAAGGCACATGCTTGTAGCTGAGTAGTTTTGTCGGCTTGTTTCTCCTTCCATTCTCTACACCCTGCAGTTAAAGCTGGCGGTGTTTCTGCTAGTGTAACGCTGTCAGGGAACTTGTGGGTCTCCTGTGTATGCCATGGGGATTCACTCCATTGCCCTGGAGTCTCCTCACATATCTTTCCCGGATAAGCCTATCTCTGTTTTTTACTTTTTCTGAAGTATCTAAGAGAATCTATGATTCACACCCTTAATGTCTTCAAAGAGCCTTTTGTGTGACTGAATTCTCAGACCTTTTGATCCTTCTGAGGTATTAGCAAAAGGTTGTACAGCCATGTCCTTGTCTGTTTCTCTAAAGCAGGCAGTCCTTACTGTGAATCTCTTAATTTTCGTGTCTTTTGCTGTTTGGGTAGGCTGAGAATTTCCCAAGTCATCAAGTCCTAGTTTCTTTATATTTACCCTTTCTTCCCCCAACTTACCTATCTCCTTTCACATTTGACTATAATCAGCCAGAAGGCAGGCTGTACCTTCCACAGTGTGCTTGAAACTATCCTCAACTAAACAGTAAGTTTATCACTTACAAATTCTGCTTTCCACATAACTGCAAGACATAATTCAGTTAAGCTTTCTGTCACTATGTAACAAGGATCCCTTTCTTCCAGTTTTCCAATAACATATTCCTCATTTTCTTCTAAGCCCTCAGCAGCAGCACCTTTAATGTTGTTATTTCGTGATGATTTGAGTATTCTCTGTGGCAATTTTGGCATTCTCTACCATGCTCCTCACTTTCTTCAAGCCCTTGCTGACATTACCGTTCCATGTTTCTACAACAGTCTGTTTAAGTCAGTGTTTAAGTCAGTATTATGCCCCTCAGAATTCTCCCAGCCTCTACCCACTGCCCCGTTCCAGAGCCACTTCTCCATTTTTAGGTATTTGTTACAGCAGCACCCCACTGCCAGGTATCTAGAAAAGTCTTTTTTACCTTCTCATGCCAATTAACTTGAATGTGCTGCTGGGAGATTAGGAATCCACCTTTCTCCAGGTGGATATTTCTCTGGTCATTTCAAAGAGGCGAATTTACATGTGCTAGGGTTTTTAATACTGAGAATGCTTCCAGAACTGCCACAAGATAAAAGTGTTGATCCCACTACTGCAGGGAAGAATTTTTCTCAGTGTCATAATAGAAGGAAGATTATTCCTAGGTCTTCCCCTCAGAATAGGAAGCCCTGCTCCTTTCCACTTATCGAACACAACTTGGATGATACGTAACAGCTCCAACTCAGGAAGATTACCAGGGGTAAACTGCCTTTGCACGGGGCAAAATCATCTTCACAGGGAAACGATTTCCAGACAGAAATGACTGTTTTAAATAAAAGGGCATTGTCCTGTTTTGGATTAACAAAGCAGGAAAAAAAATAACCAAACATTGTAAAATTATTTGAAATTTTCTTGTTTTTATCAATTAAGTGCAGTGCCTATAGATGCCCGTACAAAAATAACGGCCATGTTTGTATATAGTAGTCTTCCAAAATACAGAGATTTACATTAGGAGGGAGAATTAAACAGCCAGGGGGATGAACAATATTTCATACTTGCTACAGCGTTTTGCTTCATTGAGAGTCATTTTCCTGAATTATTTTTACTACTGTGGTCATTGTAACTGTTAAAATTTATAATCATCTCAAAAAAGAGTATGTCACAATGAGCAGTTAGGCAACCATGTGTGAAATCAGTCATTTCGCATGATGTATATAATGAAAAAGTTTGAAGTGTCTGTTTACCAATAAAGAATGTGTTCATTGAAACTCATCAAAATGTTTTTCAAAATTTCTTTGATTTGTGGTTTTATTTGAGTGGCTGAATAGATCATTTTAAACATGAGTAACATTTCCTGTGGTTGAATTTCCTTTGGTACACGTTTTTTGGGGGCAGAGAAGGAACCGAAGGAATGTTATCTCAATTTCCCATTACTGTTTCTGTTTTTATTCTACCCAAATAAAAAAGTTTAGGTGCTGCTTTGCCACAGTGGATTTCTGAAAATCTTGTCACATGTGTGTTGTTATAAAGTATGTAGTGTTTGTACCTTAAGAGTTTATGTCCCTCATATTTGAAACTCGGACTTAGGGGGGGAGGGGGGTAAGGGCAACATACGTAATCTAAACATCTGTACCCCCATAATATGCTGAAATAAAAAAAAAAGAGTTTATGTCCCTGATCAGTAGTAAAAATTAATATATATGTGGCCGATACTGTCATAAATGCTAAGAAAGTTTCTATAATCCTTTAAAAAGCTGTTTTGTTGGTTGGTTGGTTTTGGAGTTTTTTTGCTACAGAATCTTGCTCTGTCATCCAGGCTAGAGTGTAAAGTTTTTAGTTGAAGTATCTTCTAACTCCAGTTAAATGGAGCCCCCCACGCAGGGTATGGTGGCTCACGCCTGTAATCCTAGCACTTTGGGAGTCCAAGGACGGAGGATTGCTTGAGGCCATAAGTTCGAGACCAGCCTGAGCAACATAGCCAGACCCCATCCCTACAAAAAAATAGAAAAATTAGTCAGGAGTGATGGTGCTGGCCTGTTGTTCCAGCTGCTCGGGAAATTGAGGCAAGAGGATTACTTGAGACTAGGAGTTAAGAGCTATGATGACAACACTGCACTCTAGCCTAGTCAACAGAGCAAGACCCTGTCTCAAAAAAACAGCAAAAAACCCAAGGCATATGTATAACAATGTGTATATATGTGTGTGTTTTGTATAGTACATGAAAATGGCATTTGTGGCCTGGAACTAATAACTAGCTCTAATCCTCTTAGTTTAATAGTTTTGCCTCTTTCAAATTTATAGCTATGACCTGTGGGCCTGGGGAAGCCGGTAGGGAGACGTTGGGGAGGAGGGAGGAAACTCTTTTAGAAAGTTTAAACTCGGTGATTTATTTTCCTTTAGATAAATGTTTCTATATGAAGCAGAGACATTCAGGATCATTCTAGGCAGCTGCTACCTTAAAATTTCCTTTGAGTTCTGTAGTTGATCTCATGTGCCTTCATTGGCACAATTCAAAGTACAGCTAGTCAAATTGGAAGCCGCAGGGAAAGAACGCTAGTAAGTCAGTTGTGTTGATTGTCTCACAAGACTTCCTGCTTGCTTTGGAGGGCCTGTTAAGCAAGTCACTCAGCGAGTACTTAAAGATGTCACCCATAATTAACAAATACAATACTTTTTCTGTTGTTTATTATTGAATTAAAGTATGTGTGTTAATTAGGGAACATTAAAAGAGGGCTAAGAGATTAAAAATGTGGGGCAACTGCCGTTTTTTTCCTCACACAACTCTTTTTTGTCCTTTTTAACTCCTTCACTTTACGTTGGCTTGGAAGTACTGTTTAAAATGGCTTACATTTAGTGTAGATATTGAAACCACTAGTAATTTTTCTCACTTTAACTTTGAGAATAGAAGAGAATTTAAGAATATGTCCTTTTTATTTTGTGCCTTTGTATTAAATTTTTGGTTTGTTTATTTCCTTATCTACCTAGGGTACCTTTCAATGTACTTTTAACATCTTTCCTATTTCATTCTATGTCTTTATCTTTGTGGGGAAGGCTTGTTTCTTCAAATGTTAACAGATTTTATCGTTGGGAAAAGCTTGTTTATTCAGTGTTAACAGATTTTATCATTTTTATCCTAGGATCAGGAATGGTGAAAACTATGATTTTTAGTTTTCCATGAGAATCTATGTTGATTAAAAAGTAACAAGTAGAAATGCTACAGATATTCATACCATCAGTAGGCTTGAAAGTGAAAGCCTGAGCTCGTTGAGTGCAAGTGAAAGTCCTGCTCTCAGTAGCCTGGAATTTGTGATGGTGCCTGGGCCTTTGAGTATAAAGGTAGTGGGATGAAGTAACATCTTACAGAAAGGACTGTTGGTCCTTTCTACAGATTGATACCAGGTTCAACAGTCTATGGGATAAGGTGGTCATTTTTATTAATATAGTAAAATTATATGCAAATACCATGTTTTGCATATTTATAAAATACGATAATACTAAGGTTAGGAGTGTTTTTTTTCCTCCTTGAAAACCTATTATAAATATTTATAATGTGAGTAAATGTTAGTGTTTGAAATAGTGTTCATAGGAGTTCTATGGAAGCTCAAACTAATCTGACTTTATATTCTTTAATATTAAGCATGTGTATGATTCAGTAAGTAGTACATATCTTAGGGATGACTACTTGGGTTTATCATTTTTTGAGGGCGTGCTAACAGCAGAGTCCTGTATTTGCAGGCAGCATGTTACTTACGGTAAATGACACTGTCACACAGTTCGGCATTCTGACCTCAGCTTAATAAATGTAATTTCTGCAGACAGGCCTGCCTTGATGCCTCAACCTAAAGTCACCCCTTGTCTTTCTCAGTCACGTTACCCCATTTGCCATAGCATTAGCAATACCTGATAGCTGCTTGTTAATTTGTTTAAACTACATTTTCCCTTCCCGTTCCCCTAGACTGTCAGAGAGTTCCACAAGAGCAGGAACTTTGTGTCCCTAGAGCCTAGAACAGTATCTTTCTCATAGGAGTCATTCAGTAAATGGGTAATACGTAATAAATCAGTGAATGAAGAGTAGAATCCTCTGGACATTGGAAGAATATTTGCATTAATGTTTTAAAAATGAGATTCAGAATAGCCCACAGCGTTGATGCTGGTGATAGAAAATGTATGTTTTGATTGGATTTAAAAGAAGAAAAAAAGTGTTCTATGTCTGGAACGTGGCCAATGTTCCCTGCAAAAAACCGGGTCCCTTTGGTAGAGTTGCAAGGGATAAGAAAATAATAGAGAAAAATGGAAAATAAAAGAAATAAAAGAATACACAGAGACAAAGATATAGTTTTATAAGTTTATAAAGATTATAGGCAAAGCGGGATCTCAGGGGGCCTAGACCTTCTCCGTGGGTCTCAGCCCCGAATGAGGTCTTACATGGTAATTTATAGGGAATAGTGAATAATTGCCAGGGGTAACAGATTTACATAACAGCAGGTAGTTCCTCTCAGGTTAGCAGATTTCCAAAAGGCTTCTACAGATTCTTTAACTAATTCTATCTACGTGAGCAAATGGCAATAAAATCTTTCAAAGGCTAACTTCTAAGTTCTAAGGTAAGTTTATCACTTAACAGAGGGGTTAAACAGAGATATGTTGGCTCCATATTTATTAGGTTATTGTGAATGGAGACAGGTATTCTGGAATGTTTATACAAGAGCTTTGCTTTTAGCCATTCAGGCAACTGTCTGTTCGGGGGGCACTCCATTGTCAGCTCTCATCCTGTAGTTTTTAACAGATTCGCTTTGCTTTACAAAGCAAATCCAAACCTTTAGGTCTGAGAAACGCGGCGCCTTGTGGGATACAGCCGCTAGTGTCTTTCAGAGACACCCTTCCGAGTGTAACAGCATTTGAAATGCAAACCAACACGTTCACATATTCCTTCAGGGAAAAGTTCTGCAACACTCCTAAGACAAATCCCGTCTACAAACATGTTTATTTTAATTCATGGAGCAACAGTTCTAGAAAAAGGGCAGCCTTGGTTCATTTCTGGGAATGATGTACTTTAAGTGAAGTGTCCTTGGCAGTTCCCATGGTGGAAGTGAGGTGGAAAAGTGTTAGTTCCAGAACCAAGAGGGAAACACACAAAGCCTCATGTAGCAAAATTCTGTTTTATTTTGAACATCTGGGTGCAGACGGGTGGAGGCCAAAGAGCGTCCACCCTGAGAGAGGGGAAAGGCTTGGGTTTTATAGAGAGGTTTTTTTTTTGGGTGGGGGACGCGTGGAGGAAGTGAGTAACACCTGCAGAGATAGGTGAGGTGGGTAGCTTCGTCCTTGTCAGGGGTTATAGGAATGCCAGTGGCTGCAGCTGCCTATGGTTAAATTTACAACTTCGGACTCTCCAGACTCCTGCAGCTTTTGTTTCACAGGCTTTATGATATTTTTCGGGTTCTCGCTCTTAAGTAAACCTAACAAAAGGTTAAGGAATGCACATACGAGGAACTGTGTGAAATACCTATGATTTTCTGAATCCCAGTAGTATTAATGGTTGTTGCTGCGATTTTATAATAGAAGTTTGGAGACAAAGAAGAGCACTGTTATATGAAGATATAGTGGAAACCCCTCAACCTGTTTTTTTTTTTTTTTATTATTTCAG